ATTATTTATTAGGCCCTTACTTCCACCAAGGGTATGTTTTGTGTGTTTATTGTTCTCCTATATAGCTTGTTCCAACTTAGCATGATGCTTTGTACTCTTTCCATTTCTGAAAAGTGTAACACACCAGGTCTGCGCAGGAATTAATTGAAACATTTTAAGGCAAGATTCATAAGAATAGTCTGACCTGTCTTTCTATTAACCAAAATCTCCTTAGTTGTAATCAAGACATCAAGTATAGGTGAATATGAGTAATGTTGAGTAAAATCAATGAATGCGTCAAGAAATATTGGAATTACTCAATGCCACTTATATAGAAATGGAAAAAATATCACCAATAGCCTAGATTATTAGTTTGTCTTGGGTTTTAATTCGTATTTTGGCACTGGGTGGTACTTTGTTTCTAAATGCCACTTATATAGAAATGGAAAAAATATCACCAATAGCCTAGATTATTAGTTTTTGGGTTTTAATTCGTATTTTGGCACTGGGAGGCACTTTGTTTCTAAATTAATATGTAATAGATGCATGTCATTGATAATTTTAAAAAGAAACTTGGAGTGTGGTAGTCCAGTGGAGAAAGTAGCACTCTTAAGTTTCTTGGGTCTACCTTCCCACCTCCAACATCCAGATTCGTTAGGGAGGATTTTCCTAGCTGCATGGGCTTACGGGTTGGGTGCTCAACTCCTACCTTTAAGCGCCGTTGGTCGTGCTCCACAACAATTGTGCTGTGGTGGCCTTTGCCGGACCAGGGGTGTGGGTTCCCTTGGTTAACAACTTAACAATAAAACAATATCACCTTAATTCAGACCACAGGGAGAAACACAGGAAGGAGCTAGTAACTAAGATCATAAACACGTTTTTTGTTTCGCTGTTTGTCTCACTATTTATGATTTTGTGAACTTAGATAGTTAGATGTATTGTCAATCAAAGACTTCTGCAATCTGATGCTTTCAAGGTTGTTAAGATCACGTGTCAACTCGTAAGATCGTCCGATCTTGCGAGTAAAGTGCACTTAGGCGATCTGGATCGTGCTAATGATCGGAAAACATGGTTGAATCGTGGGATCGACGAGCTGGATCGTAAATTCGTAGTGTGTTTTAGTGTGTTTATGTATGAGAGTGAAATGTAATTGAGATGACCCATTCCTGCAAAATCTGTAAGTCTTTACTTCTTAGTTTCTCTTACGGGTACAGAGAGTATGTCCGGGTCACCGGGTGCAAATTCTTTAACAACTTGGTTGTTTAGAAAACCAAGTGTCGCTATAAATATGATGGCCTTCACAAAATGTGTCATTTTCTTGAAGATGACACAAAACACATGTTTTTAATTTAAAAACTGTATCAATTTCTCTGAGATAATAATGGACGTGGCTAACTTAGGAACTTATATCTCGTTTTCTGAATTTGTGATGCCACAGGGTAGCTTTATTCAGTGGGAAAATAAAAAGCTTCACCATTCTCGATTGCAGAACTTTGTTGTGTGCAAACACCACTTATGTATTCATTCCCTTTGTGATTTGTGTTTGTGCTTCTCACCATTGTAACAAAATGTTCATGACTTTCTTTCTCTCTATCCGTCTTGAAAAGATTCTGAAACAGTAACTGTAATTTTATTTAAAAAAAAACTTCAGTTCTTCAATGAATGTAGTGACACAACCTTGCGTGTTTCTTTGTGGTTTATATCATCCAACGAGGAATGCATTTAGCCATTTATTATGGGTGGAAAGTGAGAAGAATTTATTTGAGGAACCCAGGTTTGTTAGCCCACCTCATAGTAAAAGGGGCAGTCCGGTGTGCATTGGCATCCCACGGTCCTAAGAAGGGTCCTACTATAAGGCAACAAGAGTGTATAAGCGAATAAGCGGTAAGTTTTCCCTTTAGCTGTTCCCGAGATTTGAACCCCTGAGAAGGTCAAATGGCAACACAGAAACGGGTGCGCCCAGTCTCCCCACCCTACAATGAAGTTCATTTTTAAAGGACGGTGAAGTTCATTTAATAATTCTTCAAAAAAAAAGTTCATTCAATAATTGGAGTTATTTATTTACATCATATATACTCCGTATGTACTAGTATTAATTAATAGGACAAATTAGAAGGTTTCCTTGCCATAGGCATGGGGCCGCCTGAAATATCAATGTCGTCTCCCTTTGGCTACGTGACATAAATTCTCTATCTTCTGAGCAACTCAGATAAGGACTGCAATTGAGACTGATAGATACTTATAAAGAACCCATGATGACAATGAGACCATGAGTCAAACGACATTCATGGCTGCCATGTGAACTAAGATTACAAACAGGGATGGAAGTTGATTTGCTCCTTGTAACTCGAGAGTCTAGACTAGGTCACTAGGATCGAGTGGACACCGGCAAGTTCCAGTTCAGGCAAAAGTACCGCAAAACTGATGGATTCAGATCCAATAACAGTTCAATTCTTAAATCATTTGTAACCTATATGCATGGGATGATCGGGTTTGGACAGACTCTTGTTCCGAACTGGAAAAATGCTTCCAGCACATGCCAAAAAACTAGCCAGCCCCGGCCCGGAACTTTTGTAGCACACTTAAGGGCCATTCTATCTTAGATTGAGATTTCTCCTGATCCTATCATCTATCATGCTTTTTGCATTAAACTGCCGGATTAAGAATCAAATAGTTCAAATAGTTGGAATTGCTCCGGCCTCCGGCTCTCCCTATCCCAACCCAATTCTATCTCTTTCACTAGTCATGCTCATTGACCACCTGATCTCAAATTGAACGATCTTCAGTCTTGAGTTCGAAACCCGCTAGGCATATAAGGGTTCGAAACTCAATAGAGTGAGTTTCAGCCCTGATTACTCCAGGCCCCCCATACCCCCTGGAGTAAAAAAAAAAAACGATCTTCAGTCTCAAATCTCAAATTCTCAATTGTCAAGAAAGTTGCTATGTAAACTCCTAATGTTCATTTGACACACCATTATAGGTGCAAAATTGTAAAATTTGTAACCCATGATGAATTATGCGCACTCCTATTAATGTGCACACGAGACACACTTGACACATTCAAATTGTTGCATGGCGATAGTTTCAATATTTTAATCCGGAAAAGAAAAAAAAATTGTGAATTATGCACATTCCTATATATGCACACACAAGATATTCATTTGTACATTTTTTTTAAGTACTATATAATTGTAATTTCAATTTCAAGATTGTAATCCAATAACATATCAATATGGTGAATTATGCACACCCCCATTAATTTGATATGTGTACAAGATATTTATTTCAACTCAAAAGGTGCAATCCACCATCCCAAGATCCTAATCCTACTGCCTAGTGGTTGAAAGATAATTACGTTTTCATCTCAAACATTTTTTCAAAGAGGTGGCCGAGTGAAGATTGAGTGAAACCCTCACACTGTCCGTCGTGAAGATTCGAACTACAAATCTCAATTAGCCTCCTCGCCTAGAACCCATTGAACAACTCGAATGGGTACCAGATATACATTTCTGAGTCAATGAGTTGGGTTGATCTCTCGACTCTTGAACCAAAATATCCCAAACGTACTGTAATGCATTCTTGTTTTGCTCCCGATCTATGGTCTGCACTACCCGCACATGGGTTGCAATTTATCACTCAAACGAAGCATGTTTATTTCTTATCACCGGTCTCAGTCACAAACACAATAAGTGCTTCATTATATAAATACAAGTCCATGTCCATTGGACGCTCGACAAGCACCCAGCGGTTAGGGCACCAAATCACGCCATATTCTCGAAATACCTATAATTTAAAAATATATACAATTATACATATATATACCTACATTATTGTAGCTTATGTGCAATATTTCGATAGAAAACAACAAACTTTCATATGTCACCAATTAGACCTGTACAAAACCGGGCCGGCCCGCCCGGCCCGCCCAGCCCGCCCGCACAAATTAGCGGGCTTGGGCATATATATTTACCCACCGGCCCGGCCCGTGCCCGGCCCGCAACAACATATGGGCGGGCTTGGGTTAGGGTGTAGGCCCGTTCGGGCCGATAAGCCCGGCCCGCTACATTTAGTATATATACATATATATTTTTATATATACTAGTTTATGTATTTATTTACATGTACACATGTATATTTTTATATTTACTAATTTATCTGTATACATATTTATAGTTTATTATGTTTAAATTTAAGTTTTTAGTTCTTAACAAATAGTCCAACCAATATAATATCTATTTTTGCACTTAACGATAATACTTTGTGCATGAATTTTAAATTTTAGATATAGTTTCTCATTATTATTTTTGTGTAAATATTTTTTGTGTATGTGATGAAAGGCCTATATACATTATAAGCGTATTAGCAATTTTTAAATGTTGTAATATTATTCATAAAGTATTAAATAAATTATATAATTTTGAAAAATTTAAAGTCTTCCCGGGCCCGGCGGCCCGGTGGACTACCCGGCCCGCTCTTACGGGCGGGTATGGACATGGGATTAGGCCCGTTTTTGCGGGCCGGGCCCGCCCACGCACGATGGGCAGAAAACTTATGAAAAGCCCGGCCCGAGCCCGGCCCGAGCCCGGCCCGAGCCCGGCCTGAGCCCGCTTTTGTGCAGGTCTATCACCAATAAATGCTTGCTAAAAAAGTCTAGAAGCATCTAAATAGCATACAGTCAACCCATGGCCTAAAGCTCTGAAGACCGTTAACCTTCTCCCTCATCCTTCACAATACAACCATAATTTAAAGAGAGAAAAACAACACCACACCAATAATTAAACCAGCAATAGGGTGCACCTGAGCCAGTTCCGATTCAGCATAGGTGCTAAGGTGCCCAACGGGCAGGTTCGGAGTAGGTGCAGGGAAGAACCAAAACATTAACGGAGAAAACCAGTTTTGAATTTCAGCAAAAAAAAAAAAAACATGGGACCTGACCATCAGTTGTGGTCATATTTTGGCGGAACCAGTTTGGGCCAAATTCGGATGCCAGTTTCACCCCTGGCTGAAAAAAGCGCTATACACTCAACTTATAATAACAGCTTAAACCTGGAAGCAACAGTAGAGAGTAAAGTTGCAAATGAGAAACTAACAACAAATTTTATTCCTTTCTCAATGCGGGAGGGGAGTAAAAATGAGAGCCTAAGAGCACACCACAAACGAATCATCACAATCTGAACAATTTGTGGAAGGCAACAGACGATTATTATGTACACAATAACCCTGTCTGTACTACCCACACACCACTACCAGCACAAAAAAATGAATGAACAAACAAAATGTTGTCAAAGAAGAATTTAACTGTGTGGATGAAACTGGTAAGCGAATGGATCATAATCAAGGAGCAGGCAGGTATACACATCTTGGAAGAGAGTGATAGAGATTTAGGGGACGTATTCGGTCTCCAATGTGGGTTGGGTTCTTGTAACCGGAGCAGATGGTGCTTTTGTACTTCCAACCCGGGTCATAGGTAACCCTTCCCCAACCTCGGAAGCCATTTCCATCTCTTGCAGCTTCTTCTTCCTTCTATACGCACACGCACACACCATAAGAATCCCCAACAAACCTAAAACCACCAACCCTCCAACCACCGACCCCAATATGATCCCAACCTTTCTCGACTTCTTGTGTCCCGTCGGTTTATGTTCCTGCTTCGGAGGAGCTCCTAGAGGTGGCGGTTTTGGTGATTGAGACACTGGAGCAGGAGAAGGAGCAATGGACTCGAACACGATAGAGAAATGTCCTTGTTTGAAGGTGTTACATATGTTTCCTGATAAAACATTGCCAAAACTAAAAGAGCCATTCAGATCAATTGAGACACACTTGGGAGTGGAACCACCGGGTATTGACTTCACCTCTGGAAACCTTATGGAAATGGGATTACCTGTCGCCGTGAGATTCAACTCTGGCAAGTTTGTGGCGAACAGGTTTGATGCATCATATGCAAGAAGACCAATCACAGGTGATAAATAAATGTATCCGGATGGTGAAGGATAGTACTTGAGAGACCAATTTCCCAAGTTCTGATAGACTAAGGCAAGCCTTGTGACATAAGGGTACCCTGCAACACCAACAGGTAACTCAAACTCTTTATAAGTCACACTTCTCCTCCTTAAGCTACCACTCCTAAGCCTCAACACAGAAACCTTAATCCCTGTTAGATTTGAAGGGGCAGTTCCGTCATAAACCACACCTGTCTTGGGGCGTTGACCAAATGCATCGTGGTAAGCATAGTCTTGGAGGAGTGCATCTAGAGCACGTGAGGAAGCAGGTAGCTGAGCACTAGCTAATTGTGGCAACCAGAAAAACCATATGAGAAATTGGATTGAAAGACCTCCCAGAAGCCCCATGGAAGGAAGGCTTCAGAATACAATCCAATAACAACCACCAATTATAACCCCCACACTCAATGTGGATGAATCAGCAAAGTGAACAAGATCTTTTTTGGATGCAGACTGATGAGAGAAGCAAAATTTTGACTGGAATAGCTGTTATAGTATTACCTCAATTGATGAAGAAACTTCACAATGACAATTGACCTGCTTTAGGGCTTCAAATTCAGAATATCCGTAGAAGAATCAGATTCTAATGGCCAAACAGAACGGTAAATGTTTATCACAAAAAGAAGAATTAATTCTCCAGATAATAAATAAAGAGAGACAGGCCAATGCTTTAAACTGTTGTAAAGTCGCAAGTTTAGGAACCCTTTTCCCTTTAAGCGACTAAAGATCAAATCCAGACCCCTAACCTCGTATAGTCAGTCGCCAATGAACTAAAATTGCAATCAGAGCCCCTCAATTATCTGCTTGAGCCACTTTAATTACTGAAACAATGTGTCTTTAATGTGGTTGAGATCCGAAAATCAGAGCAAAAAATGGAAAGAAATAGCCACGACGAACAACCGAAGAAGCGAACACATTTTACTTTCCTTTTCACGGGTACCTCAACTTAAAGGCAGCAAATTTCACCTCGAAGAAACCCTTGCTTCTAGATAAGAACCCTAAACTATCCCGCCGCAATGTGGAACCGCGCCGTAAAGTTGATCACACCAGAAAAACAAATTAATAAACGAAAGTAGCTTTGAGAAGGGAGAACTAAACTCAGTTCCCACCACTGGAATCACGCATGAAGGAAGGCCAAGCCGTCCAAAGGCCTAGAAATCGAATTCGCATTCTCCTGGGAGCCGCGTCCGCCGAGGGTGAAATCGCCGGACCGGAAGCTCCCCGTGAACCCCCACCCACCGGCACAACACGGTGAGGAAGCAATCGATCACACTTTCAGCGAGAATTCAATGAATACAGCAAATCTACTAGTAATGTAGAAGGATTGTGATGAACTGGCGGAAAGGATGAGAGAGAGAGAGAAGCGTAAAAGACAGAGTGGCGATGAAAGAAATGGAAATGTGAACCCAACCAGCTACTTCAGCCTACAACAGATGCCGAAATGTAAGGGAAGAAAATTACTCCGTAATCGTTACTCCTCCAAATTAGGGTATCTTTTTTGTTTCAAAATTATCATTACATCTATTCAAAAAAAAATCATTGTATCTTTTAATTTTTGTAACATTTAGTGATAAAAAAAGTCACATTAGAATGCTGATTTTGTTTTTCGACTTATCACATTTAACCGTCATCTTTTTAATCAAACACGTAAGTTTTTATTTCATGCGCTGAATTGTGTAATAATAAGAAGAAATAAGATTTAAGTTACTTTTCTGGCTGTATTGACTGAAGTTCCTGTAGGTGATCATTTGAGCTATTTTTTTTTAATTTTTTTTATTTTATTAATAAAATATACTTTAAGTATATTTTTTTTCATAAATCAGTACAATCAGCCATTATAGTCACTTCATCAAGAACTTCATAAATTTTAACAAACGACCTTTTAATTATCTGATTTCACCCTCGCGGACTCAACAATTTATCTGATCTTAGTGTTACCAAACAACCTCTTAATTATGTAGACCTCATTTGGTAATATAGAAATTGACTAAATTATTGGAATAAGTTGAATTTGATGAAATTAATGAGATTATAATAATTGAGACAATCGAGTTATAGAAATTATACTAAATATACTGAATTATAGAAATTTTCCTTTAAAATATACTCAATCCGCCCCCTTTTTAGTTAGAGATCTTTTAATCAAAGATCTTACAATTTGATTGATTATATATTTTTATAAGAATTCATTTATAATATAAAAATGGTATGAAAATGTTTTTTTGTTAAAGTGATAGATCAAATTCTAGCATCATTAACTAGAGAAGTTAATGATGACTTCTAAAAGGGACGAACATAGTATTATATAAGTATAAATATGTAAACAAATTAAATGTGATATAAAATAGCTAAAATAACTATGTTCTATAATTTTAGTTAAAAATACTTTAGCATTATTTATTTTTATTATTACCCAATGCAGTGCTAAAATTAAAAAAAAATTCATCCCATTTTATCTCTTTAACTAACATTTCACCGTTTACTTTTTGTGCATCTCTTTTGTCTTTCTTACTTTTTGAAGGTTCGAATTATATAAATTAAAATAACCACTTTATCATTTATTTCTTTATTCGCACCAAATCTACATGCATCTTACACATGAGACAATATGGGATGGATGTAGTATGTGTTTAATAAAAAAGTTAGTTGATAAGACTAATAATAAATTAAAAAATTGGGGTTAACCAAACATGCTCTTAATTATTGTATTTATCTCACTTTTGGTATTTCTTTTAAAATTGCCATTTTAGTCTAACGATGACGAAATAGTGAGAATAATTTTTGTTTAATTGAAACAAATTTTACTAAAATAGTTTGATTCTCGTAATATCTAAATCTAAAAATTTACAAACATCAATGATGGTTATGACATTTTAGGAATAATAAAAATGTTAGTGTAACACTAAATCAGTACAATATGTTTTGATTAGTGTACCATTCATAATTCACACTCTAACTTTTCCTTCACATCCGTCAAATTCCAATGGCACTACGGCAGAGTTATTAACGATGTATGTGTGGCCTTTGAATTACTAACGGAGTATAATTATTCCATTAGTTATTTCATTCATTTAATTGCTTTAGTTTCTATTCAATGTTTTTTATTTAATGTTATACTTTAAACTTTTTCCCTACGTTGTATATAAAATAAAAAATTCAATTTTATGCACATTTCCACGCGTGGTTTGCGAATTGCTCATTAGTTATTAACCTTTTTTTTTTAATAATTAGTTATTAACCTCTTAATTTCCCGTTTTTAAAAGAGTGAAGTATGGTTCGTAACACTTAGAAACTTACTGTCTTATTGGAGTTACTGCTATACTAAAAGCAATCGTTGATAGTGGGCACATATAACCTTCTCCTTATTTCATTTAAATCAGATAAAAAGAATAGGATTAAATCAGAAAAACTCTTCTCATATCATGTAGTTGTGCCACAAAAACTCTTCTCATATCATGTAGTTGTGCCATCAATTATCAATAGGTTTGATTCTGAAGTTTGAACTAGGATTTGTTTTTCAACATTATTTAATTCCATTGAAATGATTGTTCAATGGTCGCTTAATAATTTATTAAAAATAGTTTAACATTTTAATTAATCACATAACAATATCTGTACAAACATACAGAGTACAACTTAAATAGTGGGTGTTGACTGTCAAGTTTAATTCTTAGATGGGAAAATGATCAAATAAGACCTAGTATTATGAAATTGTCACATAATGTCATGTACTCAACAAAGTCTCATATAAGTATGTCTACTTATAAAAAGCAATCAAATACAAAGTGCCTTATGTGACTATTTTGGATGATTTCTTTTGGACTGAAATTTGCTGATCTGGTCTGGTCTGAACTGGTCTGGTAAATGTCTGCTCTCTGTGTATTTTATAACTACGGAAGTCAAGTTTGATCTGGTCTGGTCTGATCTGGCACTGAAAACAGTCTAATCGATCAATTCGTATGCCTAATCGGCTAATCTTGACATCATTCTAAAACTTACGAGTAACAGTTAACTTACATTGATATGCTCCTATAAAATAAAATGATGCAGTAATACGTAATACAACAACTAGTAATGAATACTTCTCAAAAAAAAAAAACTAGTTATAATGAATAAATAATAATAATATAATATAATATAATAATAGTATAGCAGTTCAGCAGCAACCATAATAATAATAATAACATTAACGATTGACAAAACAAATATCTAATAAAAAATTATTGTTCTGATTTAAATGTTTCAAATCTAATCCTATTTTTTATTTGATATGAATCTTAAGAAATAATTACATAAATATGACCAAAATAAAGATGATTTACAAAAATATAATTAGTTACTAGAGTAGTAATGAAATCATAGTAATTCATGTTCAAGTTTTGAACTTAAGTTACCACAACACTACGTTGTAGTAATGAATAGTCATATTTATGTAAGTAAGTTTTATTTTAGTAATATTCCTGTAAAAACCCCGAATCTTAATCTTTGTTTTATGTTCGGTCATCTAAGCGTATTTATATTTAGTTTAGTCAGAATATGAATTTGATCTCATTTAATGTAAATGTTTATGATCTTATTCGACTAAAACAAAAAATAGAATTTTTTTAAGAGAAGTAAATGTAATGTTCTCAAATAGGAGTGCTATTATTTTCTTCCTTAAATAAGATTCATGCATATTTGTTCAAGAATTTTTTATTGTTTCTCTTTTCATAGGACTAAATTCATAAATTCTACTTTCGGAAGATAACATACTTAATTTTATTTTAAAATTTTGTCTATACTGTGTTCCCATTTTGAGCATTTTCTTAATTAAATACCTCTCACAGACACGATCACAATGAGGTGTACTAGTGTGTATAAAAATGTGTACAACAAGAATGTTTCTTAAAATAAACTACATACGAGTATCATTTAAACTAGTACACCTTTGACCTTCCAAGTCCCACATTCAAGTACTCAACTTTTATTGGAGGAGAAGAAAAATTACAGCATGCATGCAAAGTCAAAAAGGCTCAGATCACATAATTAAACCGAATCCATTATGAATCTTTAATTTCTTAGAGTCTTTCGCCCACACAAAAAGGTTTTTTTGGTTCATTAGAATTTCAAATTATTTGACATCTATAAACAGTGTGTGCAATGTTTATTTATTCCTGTTAGTTCAGGGCGTAATTATAGCAAATTAATTATTACTCAACCATGAAACATATAATAAGAATTTTTTTATTCAAGAAGCCTTTCTTGGAAGGAAATCAACTAAGGTTCACAAGGGACCAGCTTTATTGTGTAGTGTATTTAAGATCAAGTTTTATATCAGTCAAAATACGTAGTAAATGATAAAGGAGTTTTGGAGCCTTTGGAGCTCAAAAGGAAGGGTACAAAGTTGTCTACATGTCGAACATCTCTAATAGAAGTTGAATAGATTGATGATTATTTTAGCTTAATATGGATGAAGATATGTGATAAGTCCGTATTTAAACACGCATTTGATGCGTGTTGGGATCGGATTTTGATGTTTTTCCTAGCTTTAAGGTGTTACAAGTCTCAATTTTAGCTCAAGCTATGTTTAGCAGGTGTTGGTTCGAGTTTTGTGTCATTTGGAGTCAAAATCAGGAATTTAGAGTTCAAAACCGGCGCTTGAGGAGCAATCGGGATGATTCGAGATGCATCCGAGAGTGGATTGAGAGATTTGGAGGTCACCGGGAGGTTCATGATGAAGATTTGATGGCAAAAGAGCTCTAGGATTGGTTATGAGATCAAAAGAAGACGAAAAGAGCTTGAAAACGGGGATCAGGATGACCTTCTGTCAATAGTTCACGCATATCTCCTTTTATAAACATCCAAAGAACACGATTCAAATTCCATATGAAAGCTAACTTCAAGGGCTACAAATAATATGAAGACACCTTTGAGAGAATCTGAGAGAATGAAGGTGAAAACATACGATGAAGTCAGATGATCTCTGTTGCGATTTCAGAATGATACCTTCCACCGTTTTGATCATATCTCTTGATTGGATGATTCAAATCACATTCAGAAAATTGGGGTGGATAAAGGACTTCATTATCTACAATTGTCATGAAGGAAGCATTGCTAAATTCGGAAGATAAGTAGGCACGATTGTGCCCTCAAAGTCAGACACGATCGTGCGTGAAGAGAAAGCATCACGGAGCTACTGCGAGGCAGGCACGATCGTGCCTGGAGGGAGGTACGATAGTGCCTGCCCAAAATTGCGTGTTTTTTCTCCGGAGGCACGATCGTGCCTGGCACCATGCCTGCCTCCGGAAATCCCAATTCAGCTCAAATTTGATCCGATTTTTCTATTTAAACAGCCTGTAAACCCCCGTTTTCAAGGGGGGAGCTTAGAGAGAGTGCCTAGAACGAATTTTAGAGGTCTTTTCAGCCTTATTCATCAATCTTTTGGGATTCTTTG